CATGTGTGACTTTGAGGACACTCTTAATCACTTCTCTTTAAGAGTGTGGCAACCACCGGAGTCTCCCTCCCTTCCAGCTACAGTCAGCAGCATTGGTACAAACACTCCCCATTTTCAGCTGCAACTAAGACGTCTTGCAGGAACTTCAAGGTCCTCCTGGGCCCTCAAGACCCTGGGTGCTAGACCCTCTGGCAGGAATCAAATAAGGTATGTTCCCCAAGGTGGGGACTGAGTTCTGAAATAGGTCTTCACTTGTGGTTGAGTGCCCTCAGACTTTCCAGAGGGCCCCCTGGGTCTTTTTTTTTTTCTTCAAGAAAAAGACTATCCTTGGTAATCTTGATATGAAGGCTTGCAGGCATCCCCACGGGAATGGTTGAAGGTTCCTGGGGTTTGCAGACTAGAAATAGCCTCAGTGTAGTCAGAAGTCCCAGACAGGACACTCCATCCTCCCACTCTGGAGATTGAAAATACCCACTTTCCATGGTGGTAGAACTTTCCAGGGGAGGGTTTGTTGAGATTCCTGATGTGTGTGTGGAAGGCAGCTCCACCCACTTCCCCTCCAGGGTTAGGTTTCTGCAGTTCACAGGTTTCCTTGGGAGGAGGTGCCCTGGACCTGCAGCTTGCAGTCCACAGCCAGGGAGTTAATTATTAACATCGCAGAGCCTGCATCAGGGTCAGCCCAGGGTCACACCGTACAGAGCAGGGCTCTAGGGAAGCCTGGGCTTCTGGAGGGGAAAAGGTGACCTTCTGTGTCTTGATGCTGTGCGTGTGTGCATGCATGTGTGCATGCGTGTGCATGTGTACACACGCACATGCTACCGTGCAGCCCAGAGGACAACCTGAGACGAGTTGAGACTCCCACCTTCTAGAGTCCAAAGGGTCCAAGCAGGCCTCCTGGGTGGGGGCTGCAGACTTCAGGAAGTTATTCCTGCAGGGGGCGCTGTGCCACGTGTCGTGCACCCTCACCCTTGAGTTTTATACATTTGAAAAGACAGAGCATCTCTCAGCCCTCATCGGTGAATCTTCTTGTTGCAGTTGATGGAGATTAACGTAGAGACCCACAACCACCTGGATCCCACCCTCTTCTGGTGATGTCTCTGTCCTACACAGTGCAGAGAATGACAGACACCATGCAGGATCTAACAGATCCCTGCATCCCCCTCCCTCCCTGCTGAGATGTGACCTAGGGGTCAGGGGATGGGGACAAGGCTTAGGGATAGAGGTTCTTAGATTTCTTGTGCCACATCTAGTTCCGCCGTGTACAAAGCTTGCCCTGGAGCAGTGCCACCATGTCCCCGTGCCCACGTGTGAAATGGAAACTGTATCTGCTGTCTGAACTCATTACATAATCAGACCTGTAGCAGTCCTGCGTTGGCCTCCCGGGTGCTGGGATTACAGACGTGTGCCACCATGCCCAATGTGGGAGTGACATCTAACATGACTGAGGGCTGGGGAAAGTTCAGAGTGCCAGGCTTGGGAAGCACCCAGGCTTCAGGAGTAGTGAGGATAACTGAATGCATGTCTGTTCCTTGGGGCCCAGCACTTGCAGGTTCCCCATCTCTTCACTCAACCTGGGCTGGGCAGACAGCCGTTGTGCTCTAGGTAATGAAGAATGTCCTGGAGGCCCATTCATGGCTCTCTGAGTTCCTTTGCCATGCTATGAGGCAGGCCAGGAATCCACTTTCCCACACAGTTGGGAAAATGCTGTTGGGTGGGTACCTGCTGTCCCTTTCCCGTGGTCCTGCATCTGTTCTGGTGAGGTATCTCTACACCTCCACCCCCCATTGTCCCTTCAGATAAGGTGTGGCTCTTCTATGCATGCCTGGGATATGCTGCCAACAGAGATGGCTATAGGGATTGTCCGTCTTCTTGGCGATCCGGCGACAAGTCACTTCATTTGGTCTCAGTGTCCTGGCTTTTCATGAAAGAAGGCTTAGCAATCCATGGGCAGGAAAGTCTGTGTGAAGACTTCCTCTGCCCGTCAGTCACAGGCATGGTTTCCCGTGCCAGCATCCGTTCCCCTCTCCCTGCACATCTGATATTCCCAACAGTGTCGCCACCCTGGTTTCTCAACTCGTGCTCGGAGCAGATGTCCCCAGTTGACTTGGAGTGACATCTTCAATCTCCTCTCTGTCAGGGTAGCGAACTGCTTCACTCCAGGGAGCCATCCAAGGTCAGGGAAGCCATCAGGCAAACTGGAGATGAAACCGGCCAGATTTCCCTGTGTGTGGCTTTGAAAGCTCTGTAAGGTATTCCCCCAAACAAGTTCTGAAGTCACCTCTAAAGGGGCCTCCAGGTAGGAGAAGTAAATGGATCTTGAAGAAGAGGCTATTATTGTTACTCAGTTTGGACTTCAGAGTCTAACTTAGGGCTTGTGACTCTAACAAAGTCTAACTCGTGGCTCTAACAAAGCTTCCTTGCCTCCATAATAATTCACGGAGAGGACAAACTACTGCAGACCTGAAGGCCCCATAAGGAACAACATAGGCTCTTCCCCGGTGTCTGGTTTCCTGGTTTAAGATGAGAATTTGTAGCATTTTAGTTTGTTTATGATGTTGTAATAAATTTCCCAAGACTTGGAAACTTACAGGAACAGAAACTGTGTTCCTAGCTGTGGAGGCTGGAGGTCAAGGTGCTAGTGGGAACTGGATCTGGTAAACGTTACTCTGTTTCAAGATGGCGCCTTGTTGCTCCGTCCTCACACAGTGGAAGCCGAGAAAGTACAAAGGGGCTCGAATGCTTTCCTTGGAAACCTCACACAAGGACTGATCTAGTCCCAAGGGGGCCATCTTCTTCGGCTAGCCAGCTTGGACAGCTCCTCTCTTAATATTGTCACGTTAAGGATTAGCTTTCAACGTCAGTTTGGAATGAGGCGTGACTCTCCGGTTGGAGCAGTGATGTAATTCAACGTTTTCTAAATTAGGTGTGGGGGAGTGTGCATCGGGACCACCCGTATTTCCACCTATGGTCCTGGTGATGTTATCCTTGTCTGGAGCCCCCTGCCCGCCACCACCAAGCCTGGACATGTGACTTGTCTAGGCCGCCTAGGTTCTCTCTCCTTTGGTGACTTTGATCCGTGAGACGACTGGTTCCCTTGCCTCGGCGCTAGCACTCTGAGTCTGGTCATGTCCATGTTTGGTTTCTGAGTGGCTGTTAAATTCCCAGAGCAATGCTGGTGGATTCTAAGTGGAGACAAGTCAAAAACACTGTCTACGTGTCTAGGTACAGCTTAGCTTCTCCACTTGGGTGTGTTGATGAGCCTGGTGGCAGCATAATGCATTATGGCTTCCAGCAAGGAGAGAACTTGGAGACCTCTGAGATACATGAGACCGATGACTGGGAAAGGCCAGCACTTTAGTAGGAAGAGGAAACTGGAACCAACAAGAGACTCTTCAGATTGGCATCTGGTGTTGGCTCCGGCTGGAGTTAGTGGAACACACAGCAATGAGTCCGATTTGTGAAAGGCTCTGAGAGTTTAGAGGAAGTCCCGCCAGGCCTGCCTTCTGCATCTCAGCCCTGGCCACAGAGATCTCCTCAGTAGTGTGGCCAGGATCCCCAACTCACAGGGTTGTCGGGAGGACCTGGTGGCAGGAAGCTGCCTGAATTTTCTTCCCCGGAGCCAAGCCAGTGCACTGTGCTCAACCAAGAGTCGCCATATCTGAGGGCTTTGTGTATGAACAGTGAAAATGTTTCCCTGTTCTGGGAAGATGGTAACCCCAGGGCTGGTGGCAGCTGTGAGGGGCCCTGGGAAGGGCCCAGGTTGGAGAAGAGCATCATTACTTCAGTGCCCAGCACAGCATGGGGGCTTTAGTATTTTTAGCTGACCACTGAAGGGCTCAAAATGTTGAAACTGAATCTCAATGACTAAAAATTCACAAGATCTGTTTTTGAATACCTTATATATTGTGTGCAAGGGTGGCGTGGTGCTCATCTACCCATCCTGTTCCACATACCTACACATCCACCACCCTCATCCATCACCCCATCCATCCATCCACTCATCCATCATCCATCCATCTATCCATCATGCATCCATCCATTACCAATCCGTTACCCCCATCTACCATCACCTATCCATCCATCCATCCATCCATCCATCCATCCATCCATCCATCCATC